CCAAGCATATTCAGACTCTCCTCCAACGCTGAAATGTCACCATATTTTCCACACTGTCTGAACTTCCATCAATTTAAGGTCAGTGGTGGTTGTGTGCCACTGAGTTGATTCTGACTCATAGCAATCCTATATAGCGTTTCCGAGGCTACATATCGTAACAGGAGAAGAAAGCCTCATCTTTCTCCCATGGAGTGACTAGTAGATTTGAAATACTGACCCTGTGGTTAACAGTCCAGTTCATAATCCACTACACTACCAGAGCTTCTTCTATATATTTATATACCTAATAGGGCCAACATTGCTGATGTCAAATGGAACTTGGCTGAAAGGAGAGACTACCAGAAAGATGTTTACCTGTGCTTTATTGACTATACAAAGGCTTTTGACTGTGTGGATCATGACAAGCTATGGACAACATTGTTGAGAATACATATTCCAGAACACTTAATTGTGCTCATAAGGAATCTATATATAGGCCAAGAAGCAGTCATTTGAACAGAATAAGGGACACTGAATGGTTTAAAATCAGAAAAAGTGTGTGGAAAGGTTGTATTACTTCCTTATGCTTATTCAATCTGTATGACAAGCAAATAATCTGAGAAACTGGATTACATGAAGAAGAAGGTGGCATCAGGATTGGAGGGAGACTCATTAATAATCTGTGATATGCAGGTAATACTACATTGCTTGCTAAAAGCAAAGAGGAATTAAATGTACTTCCTGATGAAGATCAAACACCACAACCTTCATTATGGGTTGCATCTCAATGTAAAGAAAACAAAAATGCTCATCACTAGACCAATAAATAACAGCATGATAAATGGAGGAAAGACTGAAGTTATAGAAGACATCATTTTTCTTGGATCCACTATCAACACTCATGGAGGCAGAAGTCAAGAAACAACAAAAATGTATTGCCTCGGGCAACTCAGATGCAAAGACCTCTTTAAAGTGTTGAAGAGCAAAGATGTCTTTTGAGGACTAAGGTGGTATTTTCAATAGCCTTGTATGCATGTGAAAGTTGGACAATGAATAAGGAAGATGGTAGAAGAATTGATGCATTTGAGTTATGGTGTTGTAGGAGAATATTAAAAATATGTTAGACTGCTGCCTGATGAACAAACAGATTTGTGGTGAAAGAAGTACAGAGGCCAGGATGGCATGATTTGGCCTCTAATACTTGGACATATTATCTGGAGGAAACAGTCACTGGAGAAGGACATCGTGCTTGGTAAAGTGGAGGGTCAGCCAAATAGGAAGATCTCCTATGAGATGGATTGGCACAGTGGCAGCAGCAATGAGCTCCAGCATTAACAATGACTGTGAGGATGGGGCAGGACCAGGCGGTGTTTCGTTCTGTTGTGCATAAGGGTCTCTATGAGTCGGAACTGTTTGGAGGCCACCTAACAACAACAGCAGCATATAACTAATATCTAGATATCTAATTGCAAGGGTGAGTCAAAAATTACCTGCATTCTGGTTACATTCAAATGCCCATCCACATCTACAGCTGATGACAACATTGTGCATGCATGTGAAATGATTCTGTCGAACAGATGAGTGACAGTGGATTATGTGGCAAATTACTTGCAAATCAGTCATGGTTTCCCTATGAAATAATCCACGACAGACTTGGGTTTCGAAAAGTTTGTGAGAGATGGGTACAAAACGATTCATAGAAGAGCATAAACAAAAATGTTTGGACATCTGCAGACAAAATTTGGACTGATACTGGAAGGCATGTTAAGGTTTCTTAAAACAGTTGCTACTAGTGATGAAACATGGGTTTATCGCTACATGCCTGAGAGTAAATGACAGAGTGTGGAAACCGTCTCAATTGCCGACCAAGAAAAATTCAAAAGTCAACCATCAGCTGGAAAATTGATGCTTACAGTTTTCTGGGATTCTCAAGGGCCAATAAATATAGGAAAACTATCCGGAAAAAGGTTCAACAACCAACATAGTGAGCCCCTTATAGTGAGATGCTCATTGAATAGCTGAAGCCTAAAATTGGGATTAAATTCAGAGAACTGCTATTCAAGGGTGTTGTGATCTTGCATGACAATGCACGTCCACACACCTCTGCCCACACTATTAATGCTGTGCAAAAACATTGTTTTGCAGTGTTAAAGTATCCTCCCTGATCTTGCTCCATCGGACTTTCACCTGTTTGGTCCCCTGAAAGCAGCCCCTCTAGAACAAAGATTCACCACTGATGAAGAAGTGAAGACAGTGGTACCTTCATGGCTCGCAGCTCAGCCTAAACCAGTTTTAATAAGGGAACACAAAGCTTGCTGGCAGATGGACAAAGTGTATTGAAAAGCAAGGAGATTACGTTGAAAAATGATGTATTTGCCCTTTCTAAAAGTTGATTAAAATAAATTCTACAGCTGGAATGTGTGTAATTTTAACTCACACTCATATAGGGGGATTCATGGTGTGATGCTGAAAGACAAGCACTGGACTGTTAATCACAAGATCGATAGTTAGAATCCACCAGCCGCTCCTCAGAAACCCTAAGAAGGGTCGCTATGAGTCACAGTATACCGGGAGCTCTCTTCTTGTTGTTGTTAAGTGTCATTGAGTTGGTTCTGACCCATAGTGACCCTTTATAGGTTTTCCAAGGACTAGCTGGTGAGCTTGAACCACTGACCTTGCAGTTCAAACGTGTTTGCAGTCTGGCACATTAATTCACAGCTCCACACCAGGACTCCAGGGAGCTCCTATAGGAGGACACACTTGAGCCAAGCCTCCTTTCCAGCTTTGTTCTGCCATCCAATGGGTTGAGGAGGTAGAGCTGCCCTTGGGCTGATTTTTGTGTTGGTTCATACCTTCATTAGGAACTCTGAATGCCAGGGTTGTTTTCAGGGTAAGGCAGGACTGATAAGTGTGTGGGAGAACGTGGGACTGAGGCAGGTGGAGGAGAATGTGTGCAGGAATTTTGGGGTATAGGTGGTGGACCCCTAAACCTTGAAGCACAATCAACTCTGTCAGTGCTGAGCCTCAAAACGGTCTGTAATACCTTCTTTCAGTAGCTCTCCTGATTTAGAATAAATATAACCCATGAAAAGAAAACGCTTTTTAAAATTTTGAATGTATTCCAAGAAAGAGTTGAGGAAGTTTGCATACTGGTAAAAAAAGGATGTTCAGAAAATGAGATAATCATGGTAGAAATCAGTAAGGACAGAAAAATAAGCAGACTGAGAGTAATGAAGCTTGTATTCACTTACAGGGAAGAGGACTGAGAGGTTGGGTCAGCCAAGCCAAGTGGGAAATCCAAAGTGTGTAGGATCATGCCTACCTTCTGAAAGTACAGACAGGCATCATTTGTTGTCTTGGGGATCGAAGGAGCTGTGCCATTTCACGAGTGGGAGGCAGGGATGCTAACCCCAAACAACCCTGTACAATGAGCTGTCCTGCCAAAGTGCCAACAGTGCCCTTGTTGAGATCCATAATTTAGCAAAGGAAGCCATTCATCCCTGAGCAGACTGACCAGTGTGTCCTGGAGAACTCTCTCCCGTAGGCCCAGTTGGGCAGGGCAGTGTGTGTGTGTATATGTGTGGCTGGGGAAGGAAACCCCCAATGGCATCCTGACTGTAAAGAAACCAGCACATTTCCTGGGGCTACTTCTTAAAATACACTTCAAAAGGCTGATGGCAAAATTCCAGGCCTAATTCAAAAAACCTCTTAGACAGGACATGGCAAGGGCTAGACGAATACAACACTGTTCTCACCCATTTCCCTTCGAAACCAGTTCCCAATGCTTTAGTGCACCTGGCACTCCCATTTAACCTAGAAAGGAGCTCTGCTGGCACTATGGATTAGGAACTGAAGGTCAGTGTTCAAACCCACTAGCCACTCCTTGGAAGAAAGCTGAGACTGACCACTCCTGTAAAGATTTACTAAGTCAGATGTCCCATACACGGGGACATCTTTGAGTCAGCATCAACTTGCTGACAGTGGGTGGGTAGTGTCCCTCACATACATCAGTGTGTTCTACTATGTGACCTTCACGTTTCTGGAAGCTATGCCACTGGCATTTCAAATAACAGCAGGGTCATGCATGGTGAAGAGATTTCATGCTATGGATATTTCAAATATCAGCAGGGTCACATATGGTGAACAGGTTTCAGAAAAGCTTCCAGAATAAGACAGATTAGACAGGAAGGGCTAATGATCAACTTCTGAAAACTGGCCAACGAACACTTGTGGACTGGCTTTCTTTGAGCATGGCATCAGGAAGTATCAATCTCTGGAGAAGGACAGCAAGGCATTTGAGGACGAGGAGACCCATGGTGAGAGGGATTGGCACAAAGGTGCACTGATACATTAGAACACACTGGTGACAATAAGCGTGGTACAAGACTGGGTAGCATTTCACTCTAATGCTGCACATATGAGTCACAGTCAACCTGCTGGTAGTCATCTATTGACGTAGCACAAAGGTTTGCTCTGTGCAAACCTGGCAGTGAAGAGAGGAGGGCCTTTCTTACTCAAGTGTGGACGGATTAAACATGCCCCAAAGAGTTTATAGTTTTCAGTCACAAGGCAGCCAGGTCCCACTGCCTTTCATACTTGTCATTACAGATACTGCCTTGAGTGGAGACTGACCCTAGCCTAACGCGGAACGCAGATCCAGAGGTCCTATGTTGGAACCGGAACAGAAAGAGAACCAAGAAGAGCATGACTGAGGAAGTGTATGATGGGAGGATGGCTAGTCCTTTTTGCTAGGCTGTGCTAAGTGAACTAAGCAGAAACTGCGTAATTGTCAACAACTCTCTGGTCAACATCCTGATGCCTTTAAAGGGATTCCAACCACCACCCTGAGAGACTCAATGGAACCCTTCTGGAGACTAGTGGCAGAAATTCTTCCTGCACCACAGGCAAACTGGAAACTGGATCTTTGGAGCCTTGAGATCACAGAAGAGTGGCCTAGCAGGCTGCCTACTGGGAGAGCTTTGGCCCTTATGTCTCGTTGGGGCTCATGGGCACATACTTACTACTTCAGAGAAGCCGCGTACCACCTGGCGCCGCTTCAGGTTGGTTTCCCCATCCAGGTTGGCAGTCTCTATGTGGCACAGCCCATCAGGGTTGCTGGAGGAGAGCAGCAGGACATCTGCGGGGATGATCTCATTGCAGCGCAGACGCACAAAGTCCCCCACATGAAGCTCCTTCCAGTACCTGTTCATGTACCTCTTTTCTTCCCTGGTAAAGAAACATTCACTAGTTAGACTGGTAAATGTGGTGACCTTCAAATTAGGGTGAAGGTATATAGAGCTCATTCTGTATGTCTTTTACATTTTGTGCTGGAAATTTTCATAATAAAAAGAATAATAAAAAATATTCATAAGGGCTATACACTACTACTCTGGTAGCGTAGTGGTTACGAATCGGGCTGCAAACCGCAAGGTCAGCAGTTCGAAACTACCAATTGCTCCATGGGAGAAAGATGAGGCTTTCTGCTCCCGTAAAGATTTACAGCCTCAAAAACCCTGTTCAGGGTCGCTATGGGTCGGAACCGACTCGATGGCATGTTACAACAACAAATATACTGCTGGTTTAGGGGGGTCCTACTGGTATGGCGCTGTGGGTTAATGCGCCAGACTGCAAAACTGTTTGAACTGCAAGCTCAGCTGTTCAAGCTCACCAGCTGCTCCTTGGAAACCCTATACAGGGTTGGTATGGGTCGGAAGTGACTCAATGGCACTTCACAACAAGAACAACTACTCCCAAGAAAGAAAAGCTAGAAGTGGAGTCGGTCTTTCAGACCTGTGTTCCCCACACTGTGAAGTTACTAGATTCAGGCGAAGACTGATGCCAAGACACACAGAGATCTCCAAGGAACACTGGACATCACTCCAGAGCCGACAAAGAAAGAGAATGTGTTCCCCTAGATCCAGCACTCTAAATTTGGACTTCCAGCCTTCTAACGAGGATCCCTGGTACCACAGTGGGTGGTTACACGTTTGGCTACTATCTACAAGGTCAGCAGTTAGAATTCACCAGCTATTTCACGGAAGAAAGATGAGGCTTTCTGCTTCCTTCAAGATTTACAGCCTTGGAAAACCTATACAGTGTTGTTCTAAGTTATGATCAATCAATGGCACGTCACAACAATATACTGTGAATTTGTAGGAAAGCACTAGACTGTGAACCACAAGCTAAGGGGTTCGAGCTCACCAGCCACTCCATGAGAGAGATGAGACTTTCTGTTCCTGCAAAGATTTACAACCTTAGAAACCCTATATACAGTTGCTGAGTTGAACCAACTCTATGGCATGTAACAACAACATCAACAGATACTAGTTGGCTCTAGTTATATGAAATCAAATTCATTTACATGAAATTAATTCATGAAATGTCTAGAAGAGGCAAATCCATAGAGATAGAAAATAAATTGCCAGTTGTAAGGGCAGAAGAAGGGAGTGACTATCAATGGGTTATAGGGTCGCCTTTTGGGGTGATGGAAATCAGACTGCAAAGTCGTTTGAACTGCAATGTCAGTGGTTCAAGCTCACCAGCTGTTCCTTGGAAACCCTATACAAGGTTGCTATGGGTTGGAATCCACTCAACGGTACTTAACAACAACAACAACATAGTGGAGAAGGATGCACAGCATTATGAATGCACTAAATGTCACTGAATTGTTCAATTTAAAATGGTAAAAATGTTAAATATCATATGTATTTTACATCAATAAAAAAACAATTAAACTACTTCAAACTATGTTGTGTTAGAATGGCAGCACGGTGTCCTGGTGTGGTGCTGTCAGATAAGGACTGGACTGCTAAACACAAGGTTGGTGGTTCAAGCCCACCAACCGCTCTTTGGAAACCCTATATAGGGTCACTGTGAGTGACCAAGAGTGAGGCAGTTGGCACTAGAACAGGACTCTGGTAGTCTGGATTTGACTCCTGGCTTCTTCTCACCTGCAGCTTGGAATCAGGTGAGGCCTACCTACTATACACCACTCAGGACCACACGGCGTGGCGTGCATACCACTTGCTTATAGCAATGAACCTCAAAGTTAGCCTTCAACACCTACTATTGACACTCGCTTTTAATATTTAGATAAGGGCACTAAGTTTTTGTTTGTCTTCACCTTGGAAAAATATTCTAGTTCAACCTACAAAGGGCTTTAAAGAGTAAATTGATGGCAGTTTTGTTCATATTTAAATAAGTGAAAGAAACATAAATTTATTTCAATATAATATGTCATATGAGCTCACCAGGGAGTCATCTGGGTAATATTGTTAGGCAGAAAATATCACCAGAATTCACCCCATTATATACTTCTATTTTCTTACTGGTCTCCCCTAATAAGCATCACTCATCTCCTGAGTTCCCAGTGAGCAGGAATTAGATAGGGAAGTTGGGATCTTGTGTGGCAGTGCTTGTCACATCTGTCTTGTTCCTGAACTTTGGATAAGGAATGTGAAGTGTTTGGAGAGTTTGGGAGTTACCCAGGTGATACATCCGTTTTACTCATAGTTAGGGTTTGGCAAGCTTCAATGGCCCCTAGCAATCAGCTGTCCAGGTACAGAAGAGAGAAGTACCCTGCCATTTTAAGTCTATATTTATTGTCTTGTATTTACCCCAATGCACCAAACAGTTGTAGGTGGGACAGGGTAAACAAAGTAAAACAGATATATCCTCTCCTCAATGGTAAATGAAATGCAAAACAAACCATTAGAGGAGGCCTTCTGGTGGTTCTAGAATCAAGTGCCCAATGTAACCAAAAAGGCGTATTTCCTTTGCCAACTCTCCCTAGAATGTCTGGACGTATCTCAAAGCTGTTGCCTACCTGTGACAAGTCCTGTTGCCTGCTAGTCACATGGGCTCATTAGCCTACTGGTGACATCATAGCCCAGCTGATAAGTTCCCTGGTTCTAAGACACGACACAGATATGGGATCCCCAGTCTGGCTTGCCCACTGCTAAGTACCTTGCTATTTGTTACGTGAAAACAAAATCTAACTATGTTCTGATTTCCTTTTCCTAAAGTCAAACCATGACTATATAATTAAAAGCACTTGTTTCTTAGTCTTTCTTCCTTATCATTACCATGGATTGAATTCTGACAGGAGGACAAAGGAATTTCAAAGGGTCTGCCCTTTCAGAAGAGAGTTTCCAAAGGGTAAGTTTCCAGTCACTAATTCTAGAATATGAGCAGGGCAGAGTTTGGCTCAAGGAGATGGTGGTCCTGTGACTCATAAGAGCTGTGGGACTTACTCAGGAAGGTGTGGATGGAGGGCCTGTTGGTGAGAAGGAAGAGGAGGGGAGGAGATAGAGGAGAGGAGAAGCAGCCAGAATATGTAGTAGCATTGTTTGTCAATTGCCTTCTCCTTCATCCAACAAAGTGTCAACTCTCCAGTTAGTGACTTACCTTCTTGTCCTCTCCCGCCCCTGGTAATCATCTAAAGTTGTTTACTTTTCTGTGAAAACCTTTTCCTGACATTTTATAATAGTGGTCTCATACACTGTTTGTCCTTTTGTGATTGACTAATTTTGCTCATCATAATGTCCTCCAGGTTCATCCATGTTATCCTTAAATGTTGCATAGTATACCTTTAAGCTGCTAATCCCTAAGTAACATGTTACACAGCAATAGAAAACCAATGCTTACCATTTCTACTTGCGTTTCTCCCTTCCTGCAGCTCAGTCTTAGACACCACCAGCTAACTAGGAATTCCATCATACTTAGTTTCTAACAGTCATACCAGAGACATAATTACCACAAGAAAAAAATGTGACAGGCTGGTTAAAATTGAAATCAACCTCTCTCCACAAATAGAAATCACGTCAGAAAGCATGATAACAATGAAAGTATGAGGACTTTGGAAATGGGCAGTCTTGAAGTCTGAGTTCTTTTGTAAAAATCTTAAAAATCTCAGCTACTCCTCAGAAGTGGACGCTGATCCCTTTGATTAGCCATAATTTCCTGCCTATAACTCCCAAGTGATCTACACTCAAAAGCATATTATTGGTCCAAGGGTTCAGAGGATGTTTGTAGAAAATGTGTGGTTCTTTTGAGATAGAAAAACAACATGAAAGGAGCAGTGATAACAATGTCTTATGTTGAAAGAAGAAGCTTGATTAATCCAAGCAAAGCAAATCTTTTATGTTGTGTTGTTAGGTGCCATAGAGTCGGTACCAACCCATAGCGACCTTATGCACAACAGAACGAAACACTGCCTGATCCTGGGCTAACCTCACTACTGTTGCCACGCTTGAGTCCATCGATGCTGCCACTTGGCCAATCCATCTCATTGGGGGTTTTCTTCTTTTTCTCTGACCCTCCATCCTACCAAACATGATATCCTTCTCCAGTGACTAGTCCCTACTGACAATATGTCTGAAGTATGAGACTAAGTTTGGCTATCCTGGCCTCCAAGGAACACTCTGGCTGCACTTCTTCCAACCTGGATCTCTGGATTCTTTTGGCAACCCATGGCACTTTCAATATTCTCCTCCAACACCATAACTCAAATGCATTAGTTCTTCTGTGGTCTTCCTTATTTACTGCCAGCTTTCACATGCATATGAGATTATTGAAAATACCATGGCTTAGGTTAGGCACACCTTAGTTCTCCAGCTGACATCTTTGCTCTTCTATAAATCTTTTCTAGAAATGCCCAATATCTCCTCTTCTGAGACGCGAGGTTGAAGGCTGGCTGATTGCACCACTGGTCTGAGGGTTGTTTTGGGGTCCTCACCTCAACTCTGGGCCTTTGATTTCTTGAGTGCAAATCTCAATAGGTGAGTGTATTTGAAGGTCTCTTCTTATGTGAGACTTCTGTAACTAGTTGCCCTCTTGTGGGGAAATTTGTTAACAATATTTTATAATCAGTCATGCCAAACCTACAATCCTTATATGAACTTTTTTTTTTTTTTAAGGTGTGGAGCAAGGGTGTCCAAAATGACACACTGCAAATATGAAATATAAGGAAACATCAGGATGACTAATATTCCATTTAAAGGCATGCAACAAAAAAATTAAGATTAGGCTGAGTTAAACGAATATACTACTTATGCTTTACAGGTTATTAAATAAATAGTTTCATAAGGAGAGGTAGTTGGCCCATAGACATTAAAGATATTGCCTTGAGGAGTCAAAAAGCAGTTTTTATTTATAAGATAAGGTAAATAATAAGAAAAGATAGCTTATTATTGAAGAAAATGTCCCTACCTGTTTAAATTTATCCC